TGACTGTCCCTAAAAAGCGGTTAAAATGGATGTAAAATTTGGTAATATTCATCAAGAATTTTATAAATTTATTTATTTATTTTGGGCTGCATTGGGTCTTCGTTGCTGTGCACGGGCTTTTTCTAGTTGCGGCGAGTGGGGGCTACTCTTCATTGAGGTTCATGAGCTTCTCATTGCAGTGGCTTCTCTTGTGGCGGAGCATGAGCTCTAGGCACATGGGCTCAGTAGTGGTGGCAAACGGGCTTAGTTGCTCCGCGGCATGTGGGATCTTCCCGGACCAGTACTCGAACTCGTGTCCCCTGCATTGGCAGGCTGATTCTCAACCACTGTACCACCAGGGAAGTCACTCGTTAAGAATTTTAAATGTTCAGGGATTTCCCTGGTGGTGCAGTGGTTAAGAATCCACCTGCCAATGCAGGGGACACAGATTTGAGCCCTGGTCCAGGAAGATCCCACATGCCGCGGAGCAACTAAGCCTGCACACCTCAACTACTGAGCCTGCGCTCTAGAGCCCGTGAGCCACAACTAATGATCCTGTGTGCCACAACTACTGAGCCTGCGCGCCTAGAGCCCGTGCTCCGCAACAAGAGAAGCCACCGCAATGAGAAGCCCATGCATGGCAACAAAGAGTAGCCCCCGCTCACCGCAACTAGAGAAAGTCCACGCGCAGCAACAAAAACCCAACGCAGCCAATAAATAAATAAATAAATTTATAAAAATAAAATAAAAGAAGGTCTGGGGAATGGATTTAAAAAAGAAAAAAAAAAGAATTTTAAATGTTCATGTGCTTTGACCCAGAAATTTCATTCTGGGCAACTAAATTTAGAAATAATGTGGGCAAAGATCTATGTATAAAGAATTTCTCTACAGCGTTACTTATGACAGTGGAAAATTAGAAACAATATCCAATAATTGGGAAAGGGAAATCAAATCAAGTCTACCTGATGGAACATTCTGCTTTGTTCATTAAGAATGATCAACTTGAAGACTATATTAGTAACCAGAAAATGTTATGACCCAATGTTAATGAAAATAGCAGGCTGCTGTGACCATGAATGCAGTTATGTGAAAAGCATGCCTGTGTACGAACAAAGTCTGGATAGGGGATTACGTAAAAATAATTCTTGTCCTTGCGTCCAGTGGGGTGGGAGGGTAGTTTTGGGAAGAATTTTTTTCTGGGACTTCCCTGGTGGTCCAGCGATTAAGACTCCGTGCTCCCAATGCAGGGGGTCTGGGTTCAATCCCTGGTGGGGGAGATAGATCCTGCATGCATGCCGCAACTAAAAGCTCACATATGCAACAAAGATCCCGCATGCTGCAACTAAAGACCCGGCACAGCCAAATAAAAATAAATAAATAAATTTTTTTAAAAGAAAGAATTTTTATGTTAACCATGTTTTGCTAAATAAACACATTTCAAAAATGTAGGAGAACGCAAGTACTTTTCCTTTCCAAGTAGAGCAGATACTTTGGTCATAAAGAGATTTGGAGACCCTAAGTCTCTCAGACTAAGTTCACTGTGCTTTCCTAACAATTCTACTTTCTAGATCATTCTGAAATGCATCCTCCTGTGACTTGACATATACTTACTGAACTTAAAATACATGCCCTGCACAGTTGTCGATGTTCAGGATGCAGCAACCCAGAGCAGCCACAGATCCTGCCGCTGTGAAGCTTATTACCCTCCTGGGGGTGGGGTGGGGGTGAGTAACGGTGGTGGTGGTGTACTATACACAGCCTGGGACAGCCTCCCTGATAAGGTAGGACTGAAGCAGAGCTCTGAAGGAAATAAAGACGGAGCCATGTGCCAATCTGGGAGAAGAGCATTCTGGGAGTATGTTCCGTGCACTGGGGCCAGCTGGCTGGAGAGGTCTGGATGAACAGGAGAGCGGCAAGTGTGGGGGGCAGGGAGGTCACCAAGAGCCCCAAAGACCACAGTGAAGAGCTGGCTTTGTATTCTCAGTGAGAGAGGGAGCCAGGAGAGGGGTCCCGGTAAAGCAGTAACATGATTTACCTTGACTTTCTGTGTTGACAGAAATGTCCCACATTTGCACTGTCCATACGGTAGGCGCTAATCTGGTGTGGCTATTTAAATTCATTGAAACCAAAATTCAGTTCTTCCATTCCACAAGTCACATTTCAAGTGCTCATGCGGCTAATGGCTACACTGGACAGTGCGGTCTTAGAGGATCGGTGTGAACTCGGGGCAGAAAACAAGACTCGAGGGAGCAAGTATGGGATGAAGCGGGGGGACCAGTCAGGAGACCATGGTCACAGTAGGAAATGGTCGGACGCTGGATGAAGTTTTGAAGGGAGGATTTGTTGCTGGATTGGTTGTGCGCTGTGAGAACTCACAACCAGCTCTGGCCTGAGCACCTGCAGGATGAGACTGCCAGGTGCCTAGAGGAAGAGGATGTTTTGAGGGGAGAGTGGGATGAAACAGGAAGTTCTGTTTTGGGCGTGTTCACTTCAGATGCCTATAAGGCATCCTACTAAAGATGGCCAGAAGTCTTTGGGGTTCAGAAGAGAGATCTGGGGTGAAGTCACAGTTTTGGAACTGTCAGTATTTTAAAGTCATTCCACTGGGTGAGATCACCTAAAAGTGGATGTAGGTGGTGAGAAGAGGTTCAGATATTGAGACTGGGGTACTCTGATGTTTAAACACTGGGGAAGTGAGGAAGAACTTGTAAAGCAGAAAGACAAGAAAAGGCAGGTGGAGAACCAATATAGAAGGTGTCTGAAAGCCAAATGAATTATTTCAAAAAGGAGGGAGTGATCCACTGTGTCAAATGCTGATACATGAGTAAAAACTGGGGAACAGATCACTGTATTCCACAACACAAAGATCACCAGTGACCTTCACAAGGAGGTCTTAATTCCCACTGCCACTATCTTTTTTTAATTTCATTCTGTGTTTCATTCATTCATTCATTTATTTGCGACAGGTCTTAGTTGTGGCTTGTGGGCTCCTTAGTTGTGGCATGCGAACTCTTAGTTGCAGTATGCATGTGGGATCTAGTTCCCTGACTAGGGATCGAACCCGGGCCCCCTGCATTGGAAGTATGGAGTCTTAACCACTGAGCCACCAGGGAAGTCCCCCTGACTGCTACTATCTTATCTGGACTCCTGCACTAGCTTCATAACTGATCTCCTTTGCTCTAGTGATTCTGTCATTCAAACATGTCGTCTATATCATGGTGTTATTTTTCCAAAACTTAAATTTTCCTATACTGCCACTCAGTTGAGAAATCTTGCCTAACACTATATTATCTTTAGCAGGAGCAGCCAGACTCTAGGGAGCATGTAAAAATCCCCTGGGGGTGGTGAGGCCCCAACACCCAAGACTCTGTGTCTCAGTAGATTGAGGAAGACCCAGAAACTGTGTTTTTAAGTAGCGGCCAAGATAATGTTACAAACCATGGTGACCAAAGGACAAAGTCCAAACTACTTAGCAAGGCAAACAAAACCGTTCCAAATTTGGCCCCAAACTTCCTGACTATCTTCTTCCTATTCCATTCTAGACAGCATACCTACACTTCTACAAGCTCAAACTAACTACTCACACTAACCACATTTCCCCAAACGTGCCGTGTCCTTCCAGATATTACTGCCCCCTGCACAAGCTGCTCCTGCCTCCTGGAAGGCACCTTTCATCTGGCTGTGCCCAGCGAACTCTGACTCGTTCTTCAAGACCCAGCTTAAATGTCACTGCTAGTGTGAGGTCCCACCCTGCTCCCCAAACTCTGTTAAGCTTTTCCATGCAGCACGCTATCTACCGACTACTCTGCCATCACCGCCACAACTCCAGGAGGCAGCGATGGGGGAGGCAGTGTTTTCTTCAACCATGCACTGCCAACACACAACCTGAAACACTGCAGACGTTCGATAACCATGGACGGCTGTTGGCCTGATGGCAAGGCATGTTGGCAAGTGCTCCAAAAGGCAAGACACTGCCACTGTAAAGGGCTGGGGAAGTCAGGAACAGCTCTGTCTACCTGGGACTTGAAGGATGAGTGGAACTCAAGAGAAAGGGAAGGGGAAGAAGAGAGACCTAAGAGGACTCCAGACAGGACCGTGAAGATGGGGGCAGGGGCACGATCAACATTCCTTCCTCTACCAAGATAGACAGACTCAACGTCCAAAGCAGGATTTGAAATCTATAGATTATGGTTTCAAATAAACATTTTAAGCTTCTGTCTTACAAGATGTATCAAAAAACAAACAACAAAACCTGACCCTTCACAACCTGTTGGCTGGATCTAATAAGTATCCCACCCCCTCTTATACGATGGGACAGACTCAAAGCTCTTGATCTTGATTCACACACTGAATCTTTACTTGGGCTTATCAGCTTTTACTTTGCTCCTCAGACCTGTTTCCCACAAAGGTGTATGAGAGGCAGTATGTGGTAGACTGGCACAAATCTCTCACCTATACCCCTGAACAACTCGTCCAATCTCCTGCTAATAGAGGGTCCTAAAGGGTTTCCATGGTACCCAAAAGACCGTGTCCTACACAAAGTTGCTCTGTGAATAAGTCTCTGCCGCTTCATTAGTTCTTGAACGCCCCCTAGAACACCCAGTCAGTGTTTTAGTATGTATCTCCTCAAAACTTTTCAGAATAACCCAGAACCTGGCAATTACCCTGTGAAGCCTTGAGGGCAACCAACTTCTGAATGTTGACGCATCGGAATTTACACAGTAGTTTTAATTATACACAGTTTAAAAATCAATATAGCATTGGGAAAATATACAGGAGATCTAAAAGGAATATAATCATAATGCTTTTCATGTAAAAACATCTACTTTGTATGCACGATACAATAAAAAAAACAAACGAGATTTGCCATCTTGTTCTAAAAATCTTGATCCCTGGCATCTGGATTTTTCCCATTTTAGATGGGTAACTGTTATTCCTTTTACGCCCACAAAACCAGTCAGTTGACAACTAGTAACCACCTGGACTTTTACTTATGAATTGTGGATCCATGAACGGCTTACCTGGGGGGAAATGAACTGGGGAGGCACTTGCGCCCGGAGATTAGGAGAAGAATTCAGTGGCTGCACGGGGGTGTGCACGCCTCTCGATTGTGCTGTGCTATTTCCAAACAAACCATGATTGCCACCCTGTCAACGGAACAGCGACGGTGAGGCTTTTTGTTAACATAAGAAAACACAAATAAGAAACAGTTCAGGTTTTCTCTCCCTCAGAAGAATCATATCCCGTGTTCCGTGGAATCACAGAATTTTACAACTGAAAAAAGTTCCTGATCTCAGAATGCTCAGAAAAGTATTCAAATCCAATCATGGGCATATCATCACCACCCCTGCAGTCTGATGCATTCTATAAACCAAAAGCATTAAACTTAGTCAAATGTTAGAAAAAACACTACTTTGTTGTTGCTGTTATTGAAAGGTACAGGCAGTATAACATTTATTTAACTACTTTCTTTTTTAAGATTGGGTTTACCGAATTTATTCTCAAACTATATAACCTGAGACGCACCTTAAAAAGCAACTGAGTAAAAATGCAGGCTTGTGAATAATATCAGTTGTAAAACAATACTATGATATGACTTTCTGAATTGGTTGATTCAATCGTAAAACCAGTGCCACCCAACTGTGAGCCTAGCTCCCTGAGGACCCTACTCCAAATCCGAGCACCCTTCCCTGTCCTGGGTCTGCTTGGTCCCTTCTTTACTAGACGAGGAAATGTGAATCAACCACGGAGTGAGATAAAAAAGGAAGAAAGGGAAAAAGTGAAAAATCATTCCAGGGCTACCAAAACAAAACATTACTCACCTGTAACTTCTCATTCAAATGTATGACTATCAGTCTAGTGAAAAAACAAGCTTAGCTCCCTGATTTCTGGATGATCAACTCATTGAAGCAGTTCTAGACTGCTCCAACCAAAGAGCTATAAAAAGCTGGGCTGTATATGATGGCCCTTCCTTTCTGACTTGTTTCTAGCAGAGAAGCAAAGAAATCATATTTGATACTTGACGCTGCCCGACGTAGTTTTCTATACCATCTTCACTTGGCCTCTTCAAGGCCCAGCTCAGAGGTCAAACTCATCAACAAAGTCTTCTCCCAAACTTTCCTCATTGCACATTCAGATTCACTGAGCCCACCTCTACATTCTCAAAACACTTGAAAACTCTTTGATAGGATCCATCATCAAATCATATTACAGTTATCTTCCATCCTGTACTTCCACCACCAGCTTAATATTTCCCTCTTTGTACTCCCAGAAACTCAATCAAGCCCTGGTCTGTAGGATGAGCACATCATTTGCAAACATCCATGACCCACCAATTTCACACACTTGAAAACAAACGTCCCACTGAACACCGTCAGTGAAGACAGCTACACCACTGCTCATACCAAGTCTGTGTGCTCTGAGCTGAGGTCACCACCACCATCTTATCCCTGGAATCGTGGGGATTAAGGCAATTTTAAAGAAGAATTTTGTCCTTAAGTTCTAGAGCACCAAAGATATTTTGATGGCTTAATGATTCAAAATAGATTAAGGGACTGCTTCAGGGGAATTAATGAACTTAAAAGTATTGAAAATAAAAATGATTATGAATATAAAGTAGAAATGGCAATTAAAATCTGTGTACATCTCATAAAAGAAAATCAAAGATCCACCATGAATTTTAAATCTCCCAAAGGACTGTTTAAACATGAAAAGACCTTTAGTTCTAGAAACTCTAATGTCTCTGCCTCTCCTGTCTTACTAATCAAACTTGTCATTCTGAGGTGAAATGGCTCAGTTCTAACTTTTCTGAGATCCTGGTAGTCTGGAGCTTAGCTACTAATTCTTCCCAGGAAAATAGGAAACATTTATTTTGCTAAGACTATTCCACTGAGATCATTCTCACACTTTACTATCAAAGTAATGACCTTGTTATTAGATGTTAATTATTCATGGATGGCTCCTGGATGGTGGGGTTTCTGACAGCTGAAGTCCTTGCCAGAACCTATGTTTTGTAGGGCTCCAAACTGCTCTGTATGGGTCGTTTTAAATTTCAACCTCTCTTTCTGGTAAGAGGTATTACAAAGAATTTACCTTTTTTGGTTTTTGTAAAATCAAGCCCTACTTTCCTATTCCTAGGAGAAAGAGTCCATCCCACTCCCACCAAAGGTTTTAGGTTTTCATTATCAAGTGTCTCTAAAGCCATACCAAACACTTGGATATACCTGATACAGATAATAAAAAAGATAAGTCAACATAAGTTTATCAAAAAATACCTTTTTTAAAAAAATAAAACCCTTTTTAGATCATTTTTATTATTTACTGTTAAATCTTGCTATTTTATTTTTTGGCTGTGGCATGTGCCTGGTGAGATCTCAGTTCCCTGACCAGGGATGGAACCTGGGCCATGGCAGTGAAAGCCCAGAATTCTAAACACTAAGCCAACCAGGGAATTCCCATCTTCTCTATTTTTTAATATGGAACCTTTGGCATCACAAGTTGGTCATCTTCTTGGCTCAGAAGCAGCTATTTTGCACAGTAATGTATTTAATGGTAAACATACAAATCCAGTCTTTTTTTTTTTTGCAGTACGCGGGCCTCTCACCGTTGTGGCCTCTCCCATTGCAGAGCACAGGCTCCGGACGCGCAGGCTCAGCGGCCATGGCTCATGGGCCCAGCCGCTCCGTGGCATGTGGGATCTTCCCAGACCGCGGCATGAACCTGTGTCCCCTGCATCAGCAGGCGGACTCCCAACCACTGTGCCACCAGGGAAGCCCAATCCAGTCTTTTTTTAAAAAACTATATTTAGAGATTAGGAGAACCAGCATCAAAAGCATATATATATATATAAAAATGGTGGCTTATTTGGCTATTTCTAAAGCTTCACTGTTGTATGTGAGGCTTTAATGATGATCTGAGCCTAATAATTATTGGTGATATTTGCCTCAACTACAATGTTTAACTTAGAAAGGTATATAGATTAAAAACAAGGTTATCAAGCTAATTGAAATCTTCTGTAATTTGGGAAAAACCCTCAAATTTTATTTTGAAATTATGAAGTATGTTAACTCTGCATGAAAATAGTGTGAAAAAACCATAACCATATTTGGATAGAACATGTATAATCAACTTGGTTCACAATGGACTTTGTAGCAATCCACAGATCAAAAAAATGAAGAGAAATGACCTTTTTTTAGAGTCCAGTGCACAGCTAGTTTGGCTGGTCACTTATACTAAAGTTTATGTACTATAAGTATCTGATAATCAGGTGATCCTGGGAGAATATTTATGATCACCATTAACCAAGAGTATTAAGACTATCTTACATTTGATATATCTCAACCCAAAAGAGCCCTCCTCCCCACCAAAATGGATATAATTGTTTCTTCTCTGTTTATATAATACGCAGTCATGTCCTCTGTGGAAACATTAGGAAAAAGAGCGAAATATCAAGGAAGAAAACAAAAAACTACCTATAACTCTCAATCCAGAGTTAAGCAATCTGAACACATGGATATAATATAGTCCATTTTTAAAATGTGCTAAGGCAACAATTAGAAAGCATATGAACGATCTATATGCGTCTTGAGGACTATAGCGTAAGAGGTGTTTTATACCATCCTTTCATTTCTATGTGAAAAGTCATCACGTGCAAACAGAATGGACGCAACTAATAATTAAATGTCCTTCTGTGACATTCAGAGATGAAAGCAGAAGGACAAGTAAGTAGTCATGGAGCTAAGGCCAGGAAAGTATCACTGGAGCCACTGTCACAAAGGAATTGTCCCCAAATTCCTGGTTTTCTCCACAAAAACTACAACAGAGCTACTGCAAGGTGACAGACAGAGGCCTGCTGTGTCCGCCTGGGCCTGTAAAGGCGAGGCGGCATGATCAGGCCAGCCCTGCCAGTCCTGTTTCTGCTGCACAGCCCTTCCTTGGAGGACTGACAGATCCAACCCCAGGAAAGGCACTGCTCCAGGCTGAATCAAACGCTGGGCAATATCGGTCTTCTTAAAGCTTCCTTATCTAACATGTAAGTTACCTTTCTCTGGGTAATATGATACTTAAGGACACTGGATTCTTAAGATGCTGTAACCCTCCAATATTTAATCTTACTAGTTTTGCTGCTGTTTTCTAATTAGCAATTTTATTAGATTGAAAAGACCTCAAAAGTAGTCTTGCCATTCAATCAAACGTTCAAAAATGGCAAATATGATGCTAAATTAGATGATAGAAGGTACCTGTAAGCTTCTTTAACATTTTCCTAAGCCAGTCATTAGTTAACTATTAAACGTAAACTTATGACCAAAAATGGGAAGACAAAAGAAACATATTTAAAATAAAACCCATGTTGAGAAACATGAAGAGAGATGGGTTCTATGGGCTGAAAGAGCTAAAGCCTATACTTAATATCATTCTGTGCATTCAGTAATCAACAAATTTCCCAAGACAGACAAATGATGCAATAAACTGCAGACCAGGGCCAAGGCGAGGCCACAGCCAAGCAGTTATAAATTTGAGAGGCCTCCTTACTTGTCTAGCAGCGAAGTTTTGGGGGTTGAGCCCTGTGCCGATTGCTCCAAGGCTGACGTTGGGTAGTGTGGAACCAGAGGGAGACAGCTTGTAGCTGGGAGAAGGGGAGAAGGGAGAGCAGGGAGCCTCATCCCCAAGGCACCCATCTTGATTGGAGAAAGGCAAAGTCAGCTGAAAAGTAGTAGTAGTTAGCCAATCACAGTGAGTGTTGGTTAGTGAAGCAACAGAATGCAAGAAGGGAAAAGAGAAACACCAGGAATAAACAAGGTTAGAGTGTATCAGCAGTAAACGAGGATAGAATTTGGATCTGACAATAGTCATGATACTTTGCCCAACAGACACCATCTGTCATCCTCTTTCCTATAGATTCTTATCCTAAGTTAGTTAACACATTCTGTCCATTGCACTAAGATAAAAATTGCCAGACACTTCATTTTCATGCATCTAGTATTGATTGCTCTAACTACGTGGCTGCCGAAACAGAAGCCACGGTAGTCTTCTTGCGGATATGTTGCTGTCTGGATCAGCACTGTGGTGTCAAAAATGTGCCAGATCTAAACACTCTGGTTTTAACTGCCTTCTGAAGACCAGGAACACTGCAAATTGGTATTCTGAATCAAGGAATGACCTCCTCCATTAGAAATGTTAAAAATCCCAACAGATAGGTATAAATGACTTGTTTAAAGCAGGTAGTTGAGAATTTGAAAAGTATACCATCATAACTAAAAACAGATCATTATGGAAATGGAGAAAGAAGACAAAAGAGCTCTCTTAGAAATAGCAAAGGAGAAAGTTTTGGATCATCTCGACAAAGCTAGAAGGCAAGGCCTTAGGAGACACAGACTATTTGCACAAGATCCAAAAATTTATTTTTGTAAATTGCACAACAGCAGAAAAAAGAATTCAGAATAAATTTGCCTCTAGGATTTCTTCTACGTGTTTTGAGTGTGCGTTTCCCCCACTATAAATAGATCACTTCCCCCCTCCAAACTTCATAAATTCCCCAAAACTTAGACCTTGTTCACAATACTCACATTCTAAAGACAGATGGTTCTAGCTGCTGCCTAATCACCTGCCAACAACAGCTATTTTCATGTCACCATTCAAAAGTAGGTGACGTTTGTGCTTTGCTCGCTCATTCAGTTCAGTAATTCTATGCTTCCTTCTGGAATTAATTATCAAAAGACAAGTGGGAACCAAAGTGGTTCTCATGAATTATTATCTTAAACCAAGGATTCAACTCACCTTCTCAAAATAAGGCCCACTATCTGTGGTTCCCATGTCTTTGGAATTAGGTGGACGGAACCCAGATCGATCCTTCCTCATGATATCATTAAAATCCCCGAGATTCATTGCTCGCTTGTCCACATCAAATTTTTTATCTGGAAGGCTCCCTGAAAAGTAACACAGAAGGAGTGAGGATGTTAACAATCGATGTCTCCCTCATGACCAAGAGTGACCTGTCCCACTACGCTCCCTGAGGTGCAGGTGTAAGACCAGAAGAGCTTTTTACTGGTTCAGGCCGCTGGTGGTCCTTCCTGGAACACATATGGATGCCTTAAAAACAAACCAAAACCAAACAATCCCCCCCAAACCCCACAACATATATTAGCTGTAGCCGGTTTTCTATGGAAGACTGAAAAGAGAGCCTAAGGGCTAACCTAGTAAAAAAATCTCTAACTAATCTAATTCTTAGACCGGGTATTGATATGTTTGATGAACATATCTTGCTCATATATTCAAATGTCCTCAGTGAGAGGATGTGTCTCTTGTTAATATTTTAGCATCTGCTAGACAAACAGCTGGGGTTTTGAAACAAGATTATGAGGAATAAAAAGAGCAAAGAGGCATGGTTGTTGCCCTAAAACTTAGAACTTCATGCTGAACGCAGGAGACGGTGTGCCATGTTACTGGTACAATGTAATTTCCCAGGTGCAATGGCTATTCCCGCTTTCTTTCACATATCTATAAATTTGCTATGGTACAGTGACATGAAGCTCATTTTTTAGCTGCTCTCATATTTAGGAGTATCACAGATCAGGGGTTATTTCCCTTATCTCCTAGGATTGTTTCCTTTTCTTCCCGGTTTGATTCTTCTTAAGTTCCTTCAGGTGAGCGACAGCATCACTGTGAAGGTCCCACAGATGAAGGTCTGATGCTGCATCTGCTCTACTTGCAGAGGAGGGGGTTGATCAATAATGGGACATCCCAGTGCAGACAGACCTGGCCACCTGAGAGCTGACTCTGGCAGGGCCACAGACATATTTTATTTGGCCACACACAGCATTTTTAAAAATCCAGATTAGCTTCCACTATTTAAAAATCAGGATGTCCAGGACAGGAATAAAGATGCAGATATAGAGAATAGACTTGAGGACAGGGGGAGGGGGAAGGGTAAGCTGGGACGAAGTGAGAGACTGGCATGGACACATATACACTACCAAACGTAAAAGACACAGCTAGCGGCCACATAGCGCAGGGAGATCAGCTCAGTGCTTCGTGACTACCTAGAGGGGTGGGATAGGGAGGGTGGGAGGGAGACGCAAGAGGGTGGAGATATGGGGCTATATGTATATGTATAGCAGATTCACTCTGTTATAACAGCAGAAACTAACACACCATTGTAAAGCAACTATACTCCAATAAAGACGTTAAAAAAAAAATCAGGATGTCAATGCATATCTGAATTTCTGGCCTCTCTTGAAAACACTGGAGGACCTGGCAAAGCTGAGCCTACACTCGTCCACGACAACAAGTGCGAACGGCCGAGCAAAGGCTGACTCCTTTATGTGGAACACACGGTCTCCCCAGCTGCCCAGTGGCCTCCAAGTCTCAAGTTTTTATACGTGGCACAAACTACTCATTTACGTCAAGCACGGTGCCTTCCCCAGAGCGAGTGTGGAATATGTCTAGGAACTGCACCCATCCCAACTCAAAGTGAGCAGGGGATCCCAACAGGGTGTCATGAACAACATATTCCATTCGTATTAGTGGAGGGATACACACCTACAGACAAATCCATTTTGCTACTTGGATTATCTTCAGTTTGACTCTGAAAATAAAGAAGAGTGAAGGAAGATTAAAGGCTTGAATTAAACGTCTGAATCAGAGGAGAAATGGCATTATTCATGTGTGAGCCACACCTTACTTTACTACTAGGACTATACAAGGTCCTTGGAAATGAACCTTAAACTGGAATGAAGACAATAACTTTTTTTTTTGGCTGCGTGGCATGAGGGATCTTAGTTCCCTGACCAGGGATTGAACTCGTGTCCCCTGCAGTGGAAATGTGAAATCCTAATCACTGGACCGCCCGGGAAGTCCCAAGACAGTAACATTTTTTTATATATATATATATATATATATATATATATTTATTTATTTATTTATCTATTTTTGGCTGCACTGCATCTTTGTTGCTGCACGCGGGCTTTCTCTAGTTGTGGCGAGTGGGGGCTACTCTTCGTTGCGGAGCACTGGCTCTAGGCCCATGGGCTTCAGTAGTTGTGGCTCGTGGGCTCTAGAGCACAGACAGGCTCAGTAGTTGTGGCGCATGGGCTTAGTTGCTCTGCGGCACCCAGACCAGGACTCGAACCTGTGTGCCCTGCGTTGGCAGTGGATCTTAACCACTTCCCTTCCCCCACAGGGAAGTCCCAGTAACATTTTTTTTTCCTTTTTTTTTTTTTTTTTTTTTTTTTGCATTACGCGGGCCTCTCCCGTTGCGGAGCACAGGCTCCGGACGCGCAGGCTCAGCGGCCATGGTTCACGGGCCCAGCCACTCCGTGGCATGTGGGATCCTCCCGGATTGGGGCACGAACCCGTGTCCCCTGCATCGGCAGGCGGACTCTCAACCACTTGCCACCAGGGAAGCCCCCAGTAACATTTTTAATATGACTAATTTTGGGACTTCCCAGGTGGTCCAGTGGTTAAGACTCTGCGCCCCCAATGCAGGGGACCCGGGTTCGATCCCTGGTCAGGGAACTAGAGCCCGCATGCCGCAACTAAAAATTCCGCAAGCCGCAAGTAAGACCTGGTGCAGCCAAATAAAGTAATAAATATTAAACACAAAAATCTGACTAATTTTGATTGCTGTTGGTGTCTATATTCCTAAATTCGATTTTCACATCAAATTAGCTTCAGTAAATCTATGGGCAGAGGAACAGCTAAACAGCTGCTTGGAGAATTAAACCCCTGTGCTCAAGTTCCAGTCGGCTCAGGATCAAATTCCAAGAGCGGCAGCCAAATGATGACAACTTCTTCTTGTGACTTGTCAAGTCATCAGATCTTGAAATGTGCAGCCAAGTCATTTGTCTTTTGGCAACCAGGACAGGGTGTCCCCATAATGTTCCCAAGAGATCAAAAAATTAGAAATTCTACAAGAACTGCCTATATAATTAATCACAAATAGTTTCCCTAGTTATTCTGCAGTTGCTGTCTTTTTAAAAATTATAATATTAAAACTGCTACAGTACTCAGCAAAAATTATAGAAATTTTAAGTACTTGGCTTTTTCTTCCCTAACTGCCTAAGGAAAAGGATACAAGGACTAAAAATATAAAAGCTGTACCCTTTAAATACTGGAGTATTTCGTTAAGAAAAAAAGAATAGAGAACAAATACTGCCTAATCCAAATCAGGAACACTGCTTAACCAGTTTCTAAATCTGTACTTTTGTACTATATGTGGCAGTGGTCTTAAAATTTGTACTAAATGTAAAAGTTGGGATACATTACACATATGAAAAAGTAAAACTTACCAGCAATCCCATATTTGAAAACTGTTTGGCAAGGGGATTCATCCATGAATCATTGTTTCCTCCTTTTAGTGAGCACTAGAGAAATGAAATATGTAACCTCAGAATCAAGTAATTTATTTTATTTCAACTTCCTGAGTTGCATAAGTACTGACTGAAAATGCAAAACCAAGAGTTTACCTTTTTGAACCCTAACTATTCCTCTTTAACTATAGTTATTTTGATATGTTATCTGTTAGCCTAAAAAAGTACTACGCTTTAGTTATTACATCTATGTTTTCATTCTTACTTTATTCGTTGCACTGAATTAGAAGTAACTGGAAAAATATATGGTCAGCTAGTGTTTTTACCCTACAAATAGAAGGTCAATAGCAGATTTTCTAAAACATAATGTTTGCATGCTAGTATTTTCTCTCTTACCATCTCCTTGTAACCCAAGCCGGTTTGTATTAGGAGTGAAGAAAAGGAGTTTGATGCTAGTGCATGTTATTTGGAAAGGAGCCCATTTAAACTAGTCATTATTCTCTGTGTGGATACAATGAGGAACTCATCCACGTAGCACTTTCATCTGCTTGTTTTCATAGTGTAAAGATGTGGCTCCCCAATGGGAAAGAAGCCTAGCAGAAGACGCCATCATCAAGCTCACCGCATAGCCGTTACTATGAGGGCAGTTAGTTTTCAGTGCAAAGGTGGCGGATGTAGGCTTCTGCTTGTTTCTTAATGGGACAAACTAGTTTCTCCACTGAACAAGGCACCAGTCATCAGTTCCACTTTTGTTTCTACGTAGAAGGTGAGTGGAACTGTGGCAGGGACCTTGTGGGGGCAGGAGGTGATGGGGCTTTGTGCACGTGTGCGTTCTCCGGGTAAAGATTCTATTTGTGTTCTGATGGTATTGGTCAGATCAATTTTATTATTCTTGCAAGTGTTAAGGTACTTAGTTTGAAGGTCAAAAAAACCCTCAGTGGAAGGAGGAGAGAAGTGGTAGTTACTTTGTGGACAGATGTTAGTGATGACAGCACAACAATGTGAATGTACTTAATGCGACTGATCCATACACTTAAAATTGGTTAAGATGGTAAATTTTATGTCAGCTGCATTTGATCACACACACAAAGAGGCCCTCAGTATGAAAGGTCAGAATCATCAGTCATGGAGCAGAAACATTTAATTCCCAATTAACTTCATTAAATCTTGGTGGTTCCCTGAGTGGGCTAGTACCTTTCACTCAGTTGCTTCCTCAACAGTCTCCTGAACTATCTTGTAATTTGGTCTTATTGTTAATTTGTAAATAACAAAAAGAAAGCCACAGCAGACTAGACAACGTGAATGTACTAAAAATGCTGGCAAGTTTACTGAATAATTTCTTTTGTGACTGGAGTAATAAAAGTCCTTTAAGAGGGAAAACTGTAAATGACTGCTTAAACAAAACGTCTCTAACAGAAACAACCTGTATTCTCAGGCCTAAAAGAGAGTAATCCTATTCAGAACAAAATCCCACAGGCAAAGGGGATGAAGGTAGAGCCCCTGGCCACTGAAGACCTTCTAACATGGCACCCGGTATTTGAAAACCAGGATTTTTAGTTGTGAAGCATTTCTTAGGGCAGCAAGGCTCCCATCCTCAAATTAAATACATGGCTGCCCACTTCCTATGTCCCTCAATGTATCTGTGGAATGAGAGGCTGGAATGAAAAAAGAGGGCTTCTACTGAGAGTCGTTCAGGTTCTAGATTGAAAACCAAAGTCCTCATCAAATTATGCAAATCAAAGGAGAAACTAAGTTGTTCTAAGATACAGAAAGTAACAAGTGTAGAACACAACTGGTACAGGATGTAGATAAGTCATCTAGTTGCTAACGCAGGGTTATGCACTGGCACCTCATTTTGTTGAGAAAAGGGTCCTGGGCCTTGGAGTTTCCCAAACGAGATAAAAATGAGTTGCGATGATTGCTGTTGGAGAAACCATATTACTGTGGTTTCTCTTTTACACATTCCTGGGGATTTACTCTAAGGACTGACTTGGCTTTAGAACGCAAAAGCGTAAAACATTTATAAGGTGTGCCGTGACAGCTTCCAAAGAATTATTCTAACATGGAAGCCAAAGTGAGGAAAATTTCGTTTCTTTGAAAATTCCATCTTACCCACAGCAAGAGTTTTGTCACTGGAGATTTCAAGGTCATGGGGAAGGAAGATGAGGGGTAAAGAGGAAGTAGTTACTTGTTCTGAAGAAAATACCTCCCCTCTCACTGAGGAACTCAGGGACCCTAGCTGCCTGGCTTCGTCCATGAAAACATTCTCAGTTCTGCCCTCTAAGAAAGAATAAGCAAGCCCAGACATCTCTAAAGCGGGCTACCTTCATCTGTTTCTTTCCTCCTTGGCCCCAGCTTGCCGAACTGTGGGAGGAAGCACTTCCCTGAGAGCCGGCGGTGTTCCAGACTCCTCCATCCTCCTCCTCTTCCCAGCTGGGATGGCGGGTTCCTGTCACGGGCCCGTCACTCTCCCCCCAGCCGTCTTGCATAGATTTGGAATCTTTAAGAGAAGAATGAACCAACTGTACGCTATATATAACAATATATAGGTATATATAACAATAAGCTATATATAATGATAACCGCAACAACCACTCCCCGTAAATGCAACATTTTAGTGTATTTGTAATTGTGTCTAGTCTACCTGTACGGCAAGGCAAACATCATTCGAACTTTTCAGAGCAGAAATAGAAATCCAAAAAGGGTCAACGATACAGAGTAAGTCAATAAACCACAAATCAAGATTTCCTGGCCTCTGGTTCAATGATTTTTTCCCCCTTTATACAAAGTTGACAGAAATCCCCCAATTGAAAAGAAGCTGTCGTTACTTATAAGAAATTTCACATCTCAATTTAGAGAAATCTGTTCCTCTTAATGAGGATGTTTTACTGCATTCTTTAGTTTTACCCTCCTAAAAGTATGTGGTGAACTTTATAATGGACTTTACAAATATGAGGTATGGTAAAGAACAACTGTCTACCTTGCTTGGGGTGAAGAAAAGAACATGCAAAATGGATGAAAAAAGAAAACGGTATTAGATTTTGAGTATCAAAATTATGGTGAAAGAAGAGAAATTCACATATAGCCATGAAAATTTGAAAGTTATTGGATTTACTTACACACTTGAAATGGATTAGGTACTAAAAAGATCCTAGGCAAAGACAATGTATAAGCAATGGCTTTTAAAAGACAGACAGAGGAAATGTGGTAGACAGGGAACAAGGAAAACAGAACAAAGACAGAGGGAAATCAGGGCTCTAATATTCGACGAAATAGGACGTCATCAGTATCCAGGGTCAAATTTCACCAACATCCCCCTTTAAACAAAGATCTTTAATTTGGAGATTGGGATAATCCTTAATCTCCTTCTGAAAATGTATGGAACTGATGGATACACTTTGTGGTAATGATACTCTATACAACGATGGAAGAAGGGAAATACACTATCCTGCCTAGAAGCTCCATCCACACCTTCAATTACCGAATGACAGGACCTTTATGAAGGGGTAGTTATTGATTTAGATAGCTTCATGTGAAGTCTAGAGCCAGAAAGGTGTCTCTTCCAGGCCTTTCCTTGAATGACTGCTGCCATGCCCTAGGACCAGGCCTATGATGCCACGCAGGCACCCATCAAGTACACAGGGTGCAAGGCAGTTGATTTCCTCAGACTGTGGCATCATCTCCCAGCAACGCCATGGGGAACCTGATGGAACCTCCATGGGGTTCACTGAGCCCCCGTTGCAGGGGCTCTGTGACTGGGCAGCAAGAGGCAGGGCTTGGGGGCTATCCCCTCCGCTGCTGGAAATGCCATTGATAACCAGGACCATTTCTTCTGCATAGGAGGTTATCCACTATTATTGTAAACACAGGCTTTATACATCCTGACAAGCAACAGGAATTAAAGACCCAACATAAGTGACATACTGACCCCTTCAAAGAAGGACGACATCCACGTAACCCTTCTTCTAGAGAAAGGAGCTGAACTTTTAACAAATGACTTCTTGGAGAAAGATTAGAAAGCTCCGATTTTTAGTCACAGAGCCCACACCAGATATAAGGTATCTGCAGTCTAGACAAGATCACAGGTTAACTATCAGCATCAATTTGGTAGGCTGTGATGATCCAGCCCCTTCCTCTATTACACACTGAAATTACCCAGAGAAGGAGTAAATATAACTACAGCTTTAACTGCAGATATAGATGATCCTGAAGAGTAGAAGACTTTTTAAAATCTGGAGAAAAGTGAGTCTTTTGTGATGGACAAAAGATGATCCTGAAGTTGGGAAAGACACATAAAAATCCTGAAAGCACTGCTGAAGTACCTCCTTGTGCCAAGGGTCTGCTTAATGCCTTCCAACAGCATTTTGGATCTAGTCCAAGTCTACAGGATGGTATTTCCCATGATGATACAACCAATTTTGCAATGAAAATCAAGACGAAATCAAATTCTTTATAAAGCTATTTCTATGAAGTGAAGGAGATTCGTAATTTTTAAAATGCAGTCAAGTTACATAGGAACAAGAGTGAGTTTCTAGAATACAGATAGCTAAGATGATATTCCTTCCTGTGGCATGGTGAGAATCATACATACCATAAAATAAACTTGACAGCAGAATTTTTTTATTCTTGTTCAAATTTTGAGTATTCAGTCTGACCACATTTTTTAATCAAAAGACAATTCCTTAAGTCTGCAATATGGTAGAAAAGTGATGTTGGAATACTTTTTAAGAAAACTATAAACAAGTGAAAACAGATACTCGAAACTGAATTTTTCAATTGAGCACCATCCAGTGGGACGTTCCGCAGCATCCATTTACAAAGTTTGCAAATTACTGTGACTACACATTGCCAGCTGGATCTCGTATAGCTCAGATTCTCAATGATTGTGAATAAGTGTGACGTGCTTTGTGTAAAAATTCAAATGAAGAAATCTTTGTTGGGTTCAAGAAACCTTAAATGTGCTTACGTGGGTGGACGTATGAGAAGAGAGACAAAGGGGAAAGGAAGGAACGGAAGGATGAAGTCACTGGGCAGCAGAGACCTTGTTCCACGTTAAAAGCCAGGAGTTTAAAAAAAAATTATACCAACGTGAGAGCAGAGATGCAAAATAGATCTAATGAGCAATATTTAAGTTACTGAGCAAAAAAAAAAACACCACATGAAAATTTCAGTTCTGGCCAGACACTACACCTAAGTTAAAACGAAATCAACAAAACTAACATGAATTTTAGTTCACTGTAAGCATTTTTACTTATGCCAAGTCCCCAGCATTTGCTGCTAACCATTTATTAAAGGTTCAAGGTCCTGAATCTCACTGAAACAACAGTTTAACAACAGCCCTCACCAAAATGTGTGACCCCCAAAGTTATAATAGAGACTCCCTCAAAAATAATGCCGTATACTTACTAGGTTTCATGGCATTTGGAGCACTGGAGGGTGTGGTCCCCCAGCCTGTGGTCGATGCTCCTGTGTCATCCATTTCACCCCACCCAGGACTGCTTTCATTTGGCTCACCCCAAGCTGAAGTACCATTATCTGGAGCAGGTGGTGTGCTTTTGCTCCAGACTGTAAAGAAAGGACATGTATCTCTAAGAATGATTTGTTCAATGAACACCATAGTATCCACTGGGGGTGAAGGTAGGAGGAACAGGCACTCCTGAATTCTGTTGGTGGAAATAGAAATAGGTACCACCTTCATGGAGGGCACTTGGCATTGTCACTTTAACTTTTTGCCCAGGAATTCCACTGCCAGGAAATTATACCACAGATATACTTGTAGAGGTAGATGAAATTACATGTACAACAATGCCCACTGTCAGATAACATTTGGAAGCAACCTAAATATCTACCAAAAAGGGACCAGTGAGACCAATCGTGAGTTGCCCATCAAATGAATACTATACACGAAGCAATTAAAAGACAGAAATGTACATGCTAACGTGGAAAGTTTTTAAGAATAATGAAAAAAGCAAGGTGAAGAACAGTGTATATAGTACAATCCCTTCCGTGTAAACATTTTAAAGGATAGATATATTTTGCTATAGGTATGAACGAAATTTCTGAATGGCACACAAAATTCTAAGACCTGCAGGGAGAGACCCTGGGGCTAAGATTCTTTTACTTATTACCTTTTGCTTTTCTGTACAGTTTGAAGGTTTTTTCCTATATGAATAAAAATTTTTACATGTTCTAGGTAGGGAACTAATGAGCAATCTTCATTTCCTTCCTCATTCTTTTCAATATTTCAAGAGAAGAACTAATTAAAAGTAATCATTTTCTAAGTGTCCATAACTGGATTCACTGAATACTAAGCTTACTCTGGAAAGTGGAAAATTAAATATTATGACTAATTTTAACTAAAAAAAAACAAACACTTGAATGGTGCATCCTCTTAATTTGTTGAACTATATGAGGACATTCAAGTTGACAATGCCAAACTAAGAATGATTACCAGCACTACTTTTTTTTTTTTAAAGAGTTCAAAATCCCACGCTCCTCCCACTCCCGCCCCACCTTTTTAAAAATTTTCACCAGCACTATTTTTAATTTGCCAGGTATGATGTTTCCTACTCAAATAAGGAGGGAAGAAAGTTTAATTCTGGACAACTGATTATCATGAGATAACGATCTCCACACAAAGAAGTACTCCACTTCCAGAGGTTAACTGTTAAAAATCACCTGGAAAGCGATGGAAACCTTCCAGATCCCAGCTTTGCTACAGCATTTTCTGATGGCCTCTGCAAGAACAACACAGACTACTTCCCGTCGCCGGGGCAAGAGAAACACAGAGGATGTGTCCACAGGCAGAACCAGAATGGAAGTCAGGTCTATTTCTGCTCCTATTTTAATTCTTTATTTTTAAATCTAGAGCACAGTTTGTTTAGCAAGATATAAATCTTTTGGATTCTGCAGACCAATACAATTACCAAAACGAAAAAAAAAAACTGGAGAGACTAACCCAGGAATGCCTACTTTTTCCTTTTGCCAAGAAAGAACATTAAAATGTACTACCAGCATCTGTTATCACTACCATTTTATAAAAAGAGTGTCTCTGTTAACAACAGCCTAGAGTTAACGTAGGAAAGGTTCCCAGAACAAAGCTTAGTTAAATAAATGCATCTTAATAAAAATGCCTTGGTTTAGGATTTCTTTTCTTCACCCAAACCTGTGAGAAAAAGCCATCGCCTACCTGATGCTGATTTAGCAGTCATCGGGGTAGGCAGGTTTGGTTCTCGAGGTGCTGGGCCCCCTTGGGAATTCTTATCCCACAGATTCACATTCTTGTAGTTGTAACTGTTAGGGTCTCCCCACGCCGAAGTGCCATCATCAATGTCCATCTTCCGACTAATCGACTGTGGGGACGGCTCTTCCCAACCACTGGGTTCCTCATCCTTCGGGTTCACTGGCTGCGGCCCGCTGCTCCAGTTGGAACTGGAAGGTCGTCCATTGCCTGGAGGTGGTGGGGCTGGGCCTCCCCATGAACCAGAAGTCTCTGGTTGTGGTGGCGGTGGCTGCTGTGCCTGCTGCTGCTGTTGGTGCTGTTTGTTCCAGGAACTGGGTTGTCTGCCTGTCTCTGTCCAGGCTGTAGATCTTTTGCAATCTTCCCACCCGCCTTTTGAAGCTAGGCTTGCATTCCCACCGTTCCCCCAAGTTCCGATTTCATTCTGCCCTCCTTCACCCCACCCAGACACAGGTTTACTGGCAGAACTTTCCCAATTGCTAGTTTTCGCCTGATCGACCTCCTCTCCCCAACCATTCTTTCCAGAAGTCCATCCTTGATTGGGCTGGCGTCCACCTCCCCACCCCTGCTCCTTGTTGGAATTCTCATTCCAAGAGGAAGATGTCTTTTCATCTGGTCGTCCTCCTCCCCAACTGGAAGAGTTGTTGTTCTTATAGTCATTCCAGCCTCCTGTGTTCTTGGGGTCTTTCCATTCTGTAGAGGCTGAGAGCTCCCCCCATCCAGACTTCATTTGATTGCTTTGGCTGGGTGCATCTCCCCAGCCCCCTGAGTTCTTGGTCTGTGTGGCAGCGCTCTCCCACCCCTCAGTTCCTTTGTCAGATTTCCCCTCGGGCCTTGGCACCTCTTCAATATCCCACACTGTGTCCTGCTTAATTTGAGTTTGGCCCCAGCCAGTGTTTGAGAGCACCCTGGGGTCCAAATCAGTTCGGCTCAAAAGAGTCTGCAAGACAGCCTGACAATCAGGATGTGTGGGCCTGTACGACCGACGGCCAGAATTATGACTGTCACTACTTCCTGCTTTGTGGTTGCTTCCAGTGCTTTGACCTCCAACTTCACTTCCCGTGGAGCTGGAAGATCTTCCCCAACAGGGAGCCTGGGCATTGCCTTGGTTTTCAGGGAGGGGGTGGCCCTTTTGATTGTCCCATGCTCCAGTGCTAGAATTTGGTTGGTTTGGACCACTCCATTCTCCAATTTTCAACTCATCAGACCCAGTCGGCTGTTTCCATTCTCCCTGAGAGACCCCAGATGTCATTTTGTTCCCTTCACCCCATTTGTTGTCATTAGAGTCCTGAGGGCCAAAGTTCCAGGACCCACCCGTAGACCTGTTATTGTTGTCCCAAGAGTCATTTTTTGACCCGGTTGATTTCTGAACAGGAGCTCCTTTCCAGGAGTCCTCTCTATCCTTTCCATTGTTCCCATTGTTTCCAGAATTGCTCTGTCCAGAGGCTGTGTCAGTTCCAGAAGGCCCCCTAGCTGCACTCCAAGATCCAACACTCCCAGTCTTTCGATCTCCAGTGCTTTGTGAAGGGGCATCAGTGCTCCTGGAGGCGTTCCCCAAGCCCATTCCGAAGGGCATTCCCTTATTCTCCATGGGGTTTGGTGAACTTAAGTTCAAGGAGTTAGTGTTTCCATTTTTTGGTCCATCAGTGTTATGAATTTGAGCCTGTTCTCTGCCAGAGACAACAAAATTAACACCCGCATTTTCCATCTTTGACTGCTGTTCCCTGGATGCCTGACCTACTGTGCTAACCTGTGCACTGGAATTACTAGTATCCGTTTCCAATGCCCCTTTCCTAGAATTTCCTTCTTGGACCAGCGCTGGCCAGGCAGATGGGTTGCTATTTGGGTTAAAGTTGCTGAAGCCAGAGCCAGGTCCAATTCTGTCCTGGCCGCTCACGCTCCTCCAATTCCCTAGTCCATTGTTGCTTTCTGTAGTAGAGTTGGAAGATTGAACAGATTTAGCCTTAGGGTCAGATTTCCAGACCCCAAGATTACATTCGTTCCCAGAACTTGCAGACTGGCACTGGCTCCCTTTTCCTTTGTTACTAGTGGTGCTTCCTGGCAGAGTGCTCTTCTCAGAGCCAGGGTTCGAGGCACTGTTGTTATCGGTGGTGTTTTCGGAAGAAGACTCAGTGTCTTTGCTGGCAATGCAAGGCCACTCTTCCATGTCAGACCCGTCTACAATCACCTTGTCCCAGATGTGAATAGGGTTGGGGGAGGCGCCGTTGTTGGAGGAGGCTCCCGGGCCCCAAGTGGGATTTGCATAATGTGAAGCAGCAGCACCTCCAAGGGCTGACTCTGAGAAAGAGAGTGTCTCATCAATCACAGCTGCATATGCATGCTCTATTAACACCCCAAGCTCCAAGTGCCCCAGAGGAGAGTTCACCATGCTTCCCCACAAACTAGCTCTCTACCCAGCTGCCTGCCTTGGTAAACTGTATCACACCCGTCTTAGTCATCTCTTCTGTTTTGCCTGGTTGGTGTATTTGCTAAATCTCACCCCCTCAGCATCTCTCAAAGATACCCTCTTGCCATTCCTAGTGACAGAGAAGGGCCTTCCTGTATCTTCAGACAAGGCAGTAACACCCTGTACTTGCTTTGTATCTCCAATCCATGCTGAACATTCCTGGCTGCAGTGAGTTTTCTAAAGCACACTTTTGATTATATCACTGCTGTGTGGAAGGCAGTGGATAGTTTCTTAGTGTACAAGAATAAAGCTAAACTCTCTGGACTGAAGTTTGATCAAGATGCTCCACAACCTGGGACCAACTGACTCTTCTAGTCTCATCTTCCACTACTCTCTCTGACGATGCCCACATTCCACAAATTGCACCTCCTCACCCTGGCACCATTCCACATAGGCACGGCCTGTTTTTTCCTTCTGAATTCACAAACTGAAATTTACCTGTCTTCCTGGGCCGAGTTCAAGTGCCATTTCTTCTATGAAACTTTTTTGAGCTTTTACCATCTGAAAACCACCTTTCCCTGTCTGGAGCCATTTTGCTCAGTGTACTGTGTTCACATCTTCCTTTCCCCACGTTAGTGCCTTTTAGTCAGAGACCTATCTTGCTAATAACGTTTGAATTCCACATGGCGACCAGGGAACTGCTACTCAGTAAGCATCTACTGAATGAGGAATGCCCATCCAGCTAGATGCTAGGGGCAGACAAGCATGAATCAGTTTGTATGCCCAAGGAACTTGATAAAATAGTCTGGCTCAGCACATATTTGATGGAATTTACTGTATTTGGTGGGGGGAAAAAATGACCTGTTTTTAGCCCAATAATTTCTAAACTTATTCCTTTCACCAAAGAACTTTAAATCAATATGACATTGAAAAAAAAAAAACTATTACATAGAGCCATATAAAAATAAGGAAGCAGAGAATCTCAAACTCTTGAGATTAGGGGCCTCCTTGGTTTTAAGAATGTAAACAGGAGACTGACTCACACTGGACCCATGTCGATGTCCATGCCTGGCTAGACTCAGCTGCTGAAGTGCCCGGCACAACCGCTCCCTCACACTTCCCTTTGCAGCTGGTTACAAGGGGACAGGAAGGAAGGGCCAGGAGGCCTTTCCCTGCCTGATTTGGGCCTGGCCTGACAGCTACCACAAGAAGCCTCATATACAGGGCTTATCTCTGTATGAAGCCTGTGTCACCACGAGCTTTCTTTCCATCTTTGCTTGGCACACAAGATGGTAACAGAATTATCTAGGCAATTCTATGTTCAAATCAGAACTAGAATAAAGCGTCCTGTCATTAACAACCACCAGCCCATTGTCCTTGCCTGATGGTCTTCAAGCTCTGAATTTTAATTTAGTCTCAAAAAATATTTTAAGAATACGTGGAAATCTGTTATAAGCTTTTAAAAAAAAGGGGGGGATGGCACCTGGAAGTTCTTTACTGTTAGCTGTTTAGTATTCATCTATTAAAAACACTCAAAACTTCCAGTAGGACCCTTCAGCTAAAGATCCCTTATATCTACATACAGTTTTTAACAAAGCTCAAAATCCAGGGCTCTCTAAAGAAATACTGATTTTAAAAATCTAATAAAAGAATGGTATCATGTGGGATCCTCCCAAGATTCTACATTATCATCTAAGAGACCATTCTCTCTATTCTCCTGGCATTCCAGGAACGTAAACACGGGAGTCTAAGATTCAGAACCAGCCTCTGCACTAGCCTCACTTCCGTAGCCCCCTGAGCACACACCTGTGGGGGAAGCTGGGACTATGGAGGCTCGAACTGTAATGCTCTTGTCTGAGGAGGAAAAAAGGCCCCAAAGAGAGAGGAAAAACAGCAGCGACATTAGACGCTCAGGCCAAGACCACACACACTCATTGGATACCAAAACCCAGTTTCAGAAGAGAAATGCTGGTACACATCTCACACTGGGCTCCTCCCCCATCTTTTGAGTAACCCCAAGCGTCTATATAATTAACGTGGACTTTACATGGGCAACGCAAGCGACATGCTCACTCCCTGCAGCCGCTGTGCCTCCCGTTCACCTGCATTAGGCTCCTCACCTGGTGCGGTCCCACCCTCGCTCTGCAGCAGCGCTCCTGTCACTTGTGCGTTGGGGTTTGCTCCTGGCGCTGTGGAGGGAGGAGGCCCCGCCCCGCCCCCGAGGAGCATGCAGGACGGTGGAGGAGGCTGCCCACGTTTTAGTAACACTTTGTGGTCCTGCTGGCAACGGAATCGCGGCGGCACCTCCCGAGGCATGTAGCGGGCGGCGCTTGGCGGTTGTCCGTTCGGCACTGCCACCCTTTTGGCATTGTTGCCACCATTGACTGGTGGCGATGGAGAGCTGCCAATTGGGCTGGCGGCCGTTGGTTGGCTTAAACTTGGTTTCGTCACTTCGGGCACTGAAAGAGAGAGATTGGGAAACAGCCTTTGAGATCAAATTCATTTTTCTGAAGATTTTTTTTTTTTAAATTATTATTTGCTTTTGCGGTACGTGGGCCTCTCACAGTTGTGGCCTCTCCCGTTGCGCGGCACGAGCTCTGGACGCGCAGGCTCAGCGGCCATGGCTCACGGCCCAGTCGCTCCGCGGCATGTGGGATCCTCCCGGACCGGGGCACGAACCCGTGTCCCCTGCATCGGCAGGCGGACTCAATCACTGCGCCACCAGGGAAGCCCTGAAGATTATTTTTAAGAAAGTTTCCATGAGACCAATTCTAATAAGACAACTCTTCTTTCACCCAACTCTGAGGGACATGCTCTTTCCAGATTCCCCAGCATCTTCAGTTTACCGAAGGTACGGTAAGGGCAACGAGTGATGGTGACAAGGATTCAAAGACTGAGGTATCATGGAATTACATTCCATTAACTAAGGAGGAGAGGGAAGCAAGCACCATTCACTCCCCTAAATCAACAGTGGGCTGCCTAGAAGGTCTAAGGATGCATACAAACCCCACACAAAACCCATGGTAAAGGTTCAAGGCTCTCAGCCCAAGGGCCTTTTCCCTTCATCCACATCCTGAAAGACTGGCCTCTGAGAAAATTTCCCCCAAGTCCCTGGACTAGGTAGGCTACGCACCCTTCATTTGGGATCCTGGAACATGCTGTCCATCTCTGTACCACTGAATGAACTGGTTATACTGACATTCTCCATTTACAGACCCTTCTCCCCACCATGCCAGAAGTTCCTCAATGGCAAGAATCTTTCATCTTTCTTTCTCAGGGCCTGGCACAGAGTAGTCCCCTACAGGGAACCCCAGGCCTAGAGAATCACAAAATCAACTTGGTTTTGGTTTCTATAGCCACCTGAACTCAAAGACTCTTGGCACTCTGTGTAAACATTAGAAATGTTATCTTTTTGCTTCTGTCCAAAAAAAAAAATTAAGTGGACCTTGTGTGTGTTTTTTCAACTGTTCATTTAAAATAAAAATTTCAAAATGTAGATAGTTCTCCTATTTACTTTAAATACTTAAGGTTTTCCCTCACTTTTACAATGGCAAACAGGAAGTACTGGAACATTGAGACGACCGTGAAGCTCTGCAGGACCCCTTGGCTTCCCCTCAACCCTACAGAAAATGTTCCTCTGGATCTGCACCTCCCTTGCTTCATCTTACCAAAAGACTGCCACCCTTTCCAAGAATATCCACCTGGCAAATGCAGGCTGGCAGCAATACAGAAACAATCATTGAGACTGGTAATTCAGATGATTCTGAGGCCCAAATCCTTGACACCCAGAGTCATGTTAGGGCCAGCCCTGGTGGCAGTATTGCTCTAACTGCTGAAATGATGCTGGGCCAGCATGTTGCTTGTTGAACTGGGTCCTTTATGAGGAGAGAGGTACATCATCAAAAATCAGGGGGCCCAATCTATACCCACTGGACATTGGTGAGTACTGTTGAGTGACAGGAAAAAAAAGAGTAGGAGCCTGAACTGGCTGCAAAGCAATGCTTGGGTCTAACCTTAGTCAATCATGAGGCAGTTCTGGGCCTCCTAGTAAGGAAGGGAGGTCAGAGGATAAATGAATGAATGAATGAATAAATAAGTAAATAAACATATTTCTTAAGAAAATAAACTGGTCATTATCTAATATTATTAATATAGTACCCTTTGCATGACTTATAACAGCCAGTGGATAAATAACTGATAATGAATGAATAAAGATGAATTATTTAATGATTCATTTTCTATCTGTGCCTGGAGGATTCCGTAGCACATGGCATTCCCAATCCCCTTTCCTCTTATTATGAGAATAAACAAGAAGCTGACAAAGGCTGGCGGGATTCTTCCCAACCAGTTTTTAGGACAGAAGGAGTTATGCTTCTGCAAGGCTACCCTTCTATAAGAGGGCTAGAATCTCCACTTTAAGGTAACCAGGTTTGTTACATGCCTTCCCTCATTTCTCTAAAATAGAGTAAGACATGGTAAGGAGAGTCTACAGAGCTGAGATCTGAACATCAGTTCGAATAACTTTACAACATTCATAGCATAACCAAAGAAATCTGGTGGGTACTGTGTATTGTGCAAGATTCCCTGCAAAAGCTCCTCAAGGCATTTTCCCACCATCACGTCAGAGGTAGAATGGATCATAAACGATGAAGTCATTGTAAAACAGGACCACCGCTTGACCACTCTCCTTGCAACATGGTGCTCTATTCTGGGAGATGAGCCATTCAAAACTCTAGGACACAGTCAGAAAAAGCCTGCCTGTGATACATGTTAAGAGCAAGCTGTTTCAGGACTTGAATGAATTCTTATTGTTGTTTTTTTAAAAAATTACATCTTTCTGTAAATTCAAGAATTTTCAACATTTAAAAGCCAGTCACAACTCTAGGCACTAACTGGAGGGCAATGCAGCTGTTGGGCAGGATGCCCAATCCGACCTACTTCCGAAAGTCCAACTAGAGACATCAGAATCAGTGCGTGTGCCACGTCATGCTCCAGAAAGTCAGGCAGTAACAGAGGAGAGGGAAATTATGATTAAGTCTGAATTACTTTTTGGGCCCTCTCTCTTCTCTTCTGAACCTTAGTGATTTTAATAGCTTGTGGTGCAAATATTTCTAAAGATGAGCTGCTCAAAATAAGGGCACAGTTTCTTATTTTCCAGAGAGAAAGTCTGTGGCTTAAACATGATCTCTGCATCAGGGAAATAAAGACGTGAAAAATGCTGGGTATCCTATTTGCTAATTTGCATTCATTTACCCCCAAAAGCCATTTACTTACTCTAATGATTGAATCTTTTCCCCTTCCCTGCTGCCATTATTTAATACCATTCTCATCTTACAGTCTGAACTTCTAATTGCCTCTATTTCTGAAAAACTTCAATAAGATTCTTTTTCAGATAAAAGTATTCTTTAAGAAAATTCCGATACGGGTAGGACCAATACAAACTATTTTCTTTAAACACCTTTTTGTTTCGGTTTTTTAATTAATTTTTATTCTTTAAATACCTTGATGGTACCAAACATCAAAAACAAACAAATAAACAAAAACAAACAAACAAAAAACCCTTCTAGAAATGTTTTAAAAGTAGTAGTTAAAATACAAACAAGCTCTAGAGAAGACATTATTTTAGACTGAAAATTTTCTTGGTGAATAATAATGAGTTACAATGCAATACAAAAAGTCTCAAAGATTGATGACACACAGAGTGGCTGACACACACTCAACACTGTTCGGTAACCTCTAAGCACTGTCTCCATTTCTTTACCTTCCACTCACTCCCCATACTCAATGCACACTGGCCTTTGTCCAGATTGTCTCCCTGGAAGCTTCTCTCCTCGTTAAATCACTAATGATTCCGCTGTCATTCTAATGGGCACTAGTTGGACCTCGGGGGGAGAAAGCTTACCTCAAATATTAATCAATCAGAGTAGACCCAAGGTTATTCAGTGCACGCAGCACCACGCACCCACTGTAATATGACTTCTGGAATGGACTCAAAAGCCGGAGTTGTGGCCACTGTACAACAGTGGTCCACCTCCTCAGGTATGCTGATGGGAAAGTGCTGTTTCTCTGCTGTGTCCAAACTGGGTAAAGGTTATGAAGTACTGCTTTGGACAGCAGTATCTGAAAATTTTAATTTATATTGAGCTGGAAGCTTTTCCCTGTTGCTTTGACTCACCAACAGACATTTACCAAGGAACTGCTAAGTGTCAGGCACCAGAGCCCTTCAAATCTTTGAAGATAGTTACCATAGCTTCCCCATGTGGGAAGCATTCCTTGGGAGTTAAACACTCCCCACCCCCTTCCAGTATTTAACCCTGCCAGAGGGGACACAGGTTCAAATTCCTTGACCATTCTGGCCCAAACTCTTCATAGTCCATAGAGGTTGATCTCTGTTCCTTTGCATAGAGTGGTGCCCACTACAGGAACTGTGAATCCCTGCCTAGATACTGTATTTCCAGTAATGTAGCTTAAGGTCATGTTAGTTTCTACAAATCGGTTATTTCATACTGATAACTTCCATTAAGCCAACCGTCACCCTAAGATCTAACATCTTTTTAACAATGCTAAATGGTTATGTCCAAACTCTTCCATTACATAGTCTATTTCTTCAATCCTAATCATACCCTTCACCCCTGTTAAATCTGGTCTATTACATCAATCCCACAAACTTTTCCAATTCCAAGACCAATATCCAACAAAGGAGGAGATCAGCTTCTACCTTAAGTGCCTTTTAGTTATTTGCTACTTGAATAGCAGGTCCAGCTCTGGCCCATGTCTTCACCTAACCTCCACTTGAAAGCCCTGTCCTGTTTTCTCCAAAATTCTCACTTTTTTTAAATGATGGAAAATAAAGAAAATATGCTGAATTTACTTTTTCTCTGAAGTACGGACAAACCTTACTTCAGTCCTCTGTACAACCAGAGACTTGGCACCAACACAGTCTTTTTTTTTATATAGGGTCTGTTGGGGAAAGAGAGGTGGATTCAGAGTTAAGGGGAGGCTGCCTGAGGCAGGCACCATCTTTGGGAAGGGGAATAGGACCCAGAAACATCAGCTGAGGGAAGAAAAATGGGATTTAGGCAGGCTCTTGCGAACAAAGATGAAGATGTGGCTGTAAAACGGGATAAAAAAGGTAGAAAAATCAGGGCCTCCTTCTACTTATGGTCTAACATACCTCAGGGATAATTTTTATTCCCCAGTTCTAACAATTAAATCCCTTTTGAGACCCCAAACAGGCTCTCAGCTCACTTCAGGATTATTTTAATTTTTGAGTGGGAGGGTGGTGGCGATAGGGGGGTATGGAAACTGTGAAACTGTATTCCATTTTATGGTAGGTATGAGAAAAACCCTAAATGGAGGGAAACTTTGGTAGTAAGTAAAAAAAAAAGTTTAATTTGTAAGGCTTTGGCAGAGAAAAGAGGAATGTGATTCTGAGAAGAGACCTGGTACAAATAAAAAAAAAGAAAGAAAACTCTAACGGATTTTCAGTTTTCCAATAGAAATACCACTTAACGTACAGAGCAGCTTATTTCGACAGCTCAACTGGTCCTTGGAGTCACAAGTATTAAGAACTGTGGCCAGGCCCAGGAACCCAACCACTGTGTTCCAGCAACCACAGAGTCTGGATTTCTTAGGAAAATGCCAATTTTCTCATCTGTTGTCCTCATAAATCATCAAAAAGTCCTATAAATATACTTATATGCCAAAATCCTTTCCTAGACAGTATACTGGTTTAGAAAATATGGACACTGTTCTACTATCAATAACACTATTTCTATGGTAAAGTATAATTTACATTTCAAACAAGTAATTTATAGAGATACTTCCAAAATAATGCCTACCCCTGGGTTAGAAACTGGCTGGAAGTACAAGGGGAGAACACTGTTCTCTCTAACTAATTAAAATTATTACAGCTAACAGTAGTTTCTCTCAGTTTATTTCATAAATCACTACAAAGTTCCAGACTATATTCTCTTTGAAATGCTTTTTGATTAGAAATATATGACAGTAATGTCTACTCATCTGAGAATTTTTTAGTTTTCCAGAACTAAGTTTCCTAAGAAACTAGTACCATCTTTATTAGTCTTCCACCACTGTGTGACATACTTTGGCCTGGTGGTCCAATAAAACGAAACAAAACAATTTAGAAATCAGTCATTAGAGAACCTCCCATCAAGCCTTGGCCTCTCCATGACCCTTTTCTTCCCCCATGTTATAATCACATCTGATTCCCTTCATCCAGGGTAGTGGTCCTCAACTTGGGACATATACTGTGGTCACCCTGCAGAGCTTCCCTACATCGATCTGCTAGGGCTGTGACCTGGGACCATGAAGGTTTGAGAGGAGACTGGGCTTGCGTGTTTTGACAAGTCTATGCAAATGATTCTAGTGCATATGCTAGCAGACAACATATTTAAGTGAGTGAGGTTAGGAGTTACAACACTGGTCTCAAGGAATTAAGTCTCCCATTCTTAAGGAGAACTGACCAAAAGTATGACCACTGATTACGCAAGACTGCATGATCAAAATGAACAAAAGAGAAAGAACTGAATACACGCAGACCATTAGAGGTCGAGAAGGACCTCAGGGACATCTGCTTCTGTTTACAACACATCACAATTTTGTAAGAGTTAAAGTGCATTATCTTTTTTAAAAGCATATTCCAGGCTCTAGTTCAGAAGACAGCATGAGCATCCTAAATGTAACACTCATTTTCAGACTCAATGCCTATCATGGATCAAGGTGGTGAACAACCCTCTGCAAGGTGGTTAACAACCCATCTGTAAAGTAGGGACCAGTGTGTTGCTTTTGCTATTGTTCTAAGAAAAATTTTGAAAAGGTTCAGTTCAAAATCATCACCTCTTTACTTTCAAAACAAGGTATTATTACACTGTCCCAAAAAATGTAAGGCCAACTAGAAACACTAAGTACTTTTAATTTGTCATTACTGCTCTTCAGTGACTGCAAACAGCCAAACTTAATTACTCTACACCCACTGCCACGAATCAAGTGGATTGGAGGCTGAGTCAGCAAAGTGTAAAATCTAAACACAAAAGAGCATAAATCTAAAAAGGAAAAAAAAAAATCTTACCTTTGGTTTTTTGTTCCGTGACCTGCAAAATAAAGAGATGTGAGTAAATGAGACTTGCTTTCTAATTCTGTATTGTATTGTAAGACTACTTTAATTCTGATATTAGTAATTCAAGGTGTCAGATACATAGGCATACCTAAAGTTCAGAAAAAGTCAGTTCAGACATCCTTCTAAACACAACGGCCATATGTCCAGCTATAACTTACACGACCATCATTATGAAAGATTCTAAAACTTAAGACAAAAAAGCATTCCACTCTCGTTAAATGAGGTCCTTGCACTGGGAATGCTATTTCCCATTCAGGGACCGCAATGACTAGAGAAAAGCAAATGGATGAGGCCCAGAAACAAAATTAACTACAGAGACAAAAAGATTTACCTGTGAGTATGGACTCAAACACTTGACTTCAAATCTAGAAAGCAAAGTTTAAGGGGCCATACTCAAGAGGCATCAGAGATCACGGTAGGAAAGCTGGATTCAAAACCAAGCTATGCCACTTCCTGGCTATGCGATCTCAGTTTTTAATTTACCTTCTGAATGAAGATAATAACAGTATCTCCTTTGCAGAAAAGGATGCTGTAAGGATTAAATCAGATATCCTACACCAATGCTTAATAACTGCTATTATCATCAAAGTTTATAGAAAATAATGTGAAACAGAAATATTCAATAAGGTTGAAATATATAAATTTTGAACAAATACATATTGCTTTGTTGAAAGTATTTCTTTATATAGTAACTAATACATTTCTGGAAGTGACTAACTTAAAAGGTTGGATATGCTGAATATAATAATGGGTTTTTGGAGAGTTTGGAAATGATGACTAGGAGCCACACGGAAAACTGCTTCTGCTATTAAGAGGGGAAAATAAAGGAGAGCATCTAATTATACATGCCCTATAATATTTAAGCAAAACCACAAAAGGTCATGAATAAGAAAAATATTCCAAAGGAAATGCACCAGAATTCCAATAGGGGTTAAATCACATTATTGAGATCATGGGTTATTTTGACCCCCTTTTCCCAACTGTTAATCTTCCAAAAAATATTTTTATATTAGTTCTCTGACTTCTGTAACAAAAATATTCCTATAGAAGAGGTTTAATTATTTGTGGCTGGCAATCATAGTAAGTTACTGCTTTGGGTGTTCATGAAAACATGGTCATCTTTGGAAGGTCTGTCCTGTGGCTAACCAGCCCCTTCAAAACGGATTCCAGCACACCACTGAGTTAAAACAATCCACTTGGATGACCTCCTGGAGTGTTTCTTACATTCTTGCATTAAAAGACAAGCTAATTCTGCTGTACTGATTCTGTGGTAGGCAGCCTCTTAAAATGAATGTGCTTCCCAGTACTGTTACAGAGCTCAATTCTACCGTATAATTTCTATAAGCCCATATATCGAAGAATGAACTGATTTGTATCCACATACCAATTCCTTAAGGCAACTGAAGATTATACCACTGTAAATACTTCTCACAATGCCATTTGGAAGAACAGTTATACAGGAAGTCAATGCCTTCCCTAGCTGTAAGCAACAAACCCAACTAATGTCAAATGTGTCTTATAATGTGGGTTCTGTTAAAAAGAGCTGCCCCCAGACGGTGAAAAGCTGGATGATCAAAACATATGTTCTGCCAACGCTAAACAATGATTCTTTAGCAGCAGGAGACTAACGAACGTGAGTGAAATCCTTCTCTGACACCTCTCTCATGAGTGAAATCTAACAGTTTACTCAGGGAAGGTTCTAGAAAGAGCAAACCACCATAACCACTGAGCATAAAGGAAAAGAAGCTCGTGCTTAATTTCTATGTAGAAAAAACTTAATTTAGCTAAATAAAAGTCAGTTCTTCAGGAAAATTATGTTGCCAGCATCCATTCTTGACCGTTCACTTATTTTTTTAAATACATTTATGTATGTATGTATGTATGTATGTATGTATGTATTTATGGCTGTGTTGGGTCTTCGTTGCTGCGAGTGGGGGCTAGTCTTCATTGCGGTGCACGGGCTTCTCACTGCAGTGGCTTCTCTTATTGTGGCGCATGGGCTCTAGGCACACAGGCTTTAGTAGTTGCAGCACACAGGCTCTAGAGTGCAGGCTCAATAGTTGTGGCGCACGGGCTTACTTGCTCCACAGCATGTCGGATCTTCCCAGACCAGGGATCGAACCCACGTCCCCTGCACTGGCAGGCGGATTCTTAACCACTGTGCCACCAGGGAAGTCCCGACCATTCACTTCTTTTTTTCTTTTTTTTTTAAACATCTTTATCAGAGTATAAATGCTTTACAGTGTTGTGCTAGTTTCTGCTATATAAAAAAGTGAATCAGCTATATGCATACGTATATCCCCTCCCTCTTGCATCTCCCTCCCACCCTCCTTATTCCACCCCTCTAGGTGGTCGCAAAGCACGGAGCTGATCTCCCTGTGCCATGCAGCTGCTTCTCACTAGCTATCTATTTTACATTTGGTACTGTATATATGTCAATGCTACTCTCTCACTTCGTCCCAGTTTACCTTCCCCCTCCCTGTGTCCTCAAGTCCATTCTCTACGTCTGTGTCTTTATTCCTGTCCTGCCCCTAGGTTCATCAGAACCTTTTTTTTTTTTTTAAGATTCCATATAATATGTGTTAGCATATGGTATTTGTTTTTCTCCTTCTGACTTACTGCACTCTGTATGACAGACTTTAGGTCCAGCCACCTCACTACAAATAACTCAATTTCGTTTCTTTTTATAGCTGAGTAATATTCCATTGTATATATGTGCCACATCTTCTTTATCCATTCATCTGTCGATGGACACTTAGGTTGCTTCCATGTTCTGGTTACTGTAAACAGTGCTGCAATGAACACTATGGTACATGATTCTTTTTGAATTATGGTTTTCTCAGGGTATATGCCCAATAGTGGGATTGCTTGGTCATATGGTAGTTCTATTTTTATTTTTTAAGGAACCTCCATACTGTTCTCCATAGTGGCTGTACCAACTTACATTCCCACCAACAGTGCAAGAGGGTTCCTTTTTCTTCACAAGCTCTCCAGCATTTATTCTTTGTAGATTTTTAGATGATAGCCATTCTGACCGGTGTGAGGTGATAGCTCATTGCAGTTTTGATTTGCGTTTCTCTAATGATTAGTGATGTTGAGCATCTTTTCATGTGTTTGTTGGCAATCTGTGTATCTTCTTTGGAGAAATGTGTATTTAGGTCTTCTGCCCATTTTTGCTTTGGGTTGTTTGTTTTTTTAATATTGAGCTGCATGAGCTACTTGTATATTTTGGAAATTAATCCTTTGTTGGTTGCTTCATTTGCAAATATTTTCTCCCATTCTGAGGGTTGTCTTTTCGTCTTGCTTATGGTTTCCTTTGCTGGGCAAAAGCTTTTAAGTTTCATTAGGTCCCATTTGTTTATTTTTGTTTTTATTTCCATTTCTCTAGGATTTGGGCCAAAAAGGATCTTGCTGTGATTTATGTCATAGAGTGTTCTGCCTATGTTTTCCTCTAAGAGTTTTATACTGTTTGGCCTTATATTTAGGTCATTAATCCATTTTGAGTTTATTTTTGTGTATGGTGTTAGGGAGTGTTCTAATTTCATTCTTTTACATGTAGCTGTCCAGTTTTCCCAACACCTCTTATTGAAGAGGCTGTCTTTTCTACATTGTATATTCTTGCCTCCTTTATCAAAGATAAGGTGACCATAGGCGTATGGGTTTATCTCTGGGCTTTCTGTCCTGTTCCATTGATCTACATTTCTGTTTCTGTGCCAGTACCATACTTTCTTGATTACTGCAGCTGTGCAGTATAGTCTGAAGTCAGGGAGCCTGATTCCTCCAGCTCCATTTTTCTTTCTCAAGATTGCTTTGGCTATTCGTGGTCTTTTGTGTTTCCATACAAATTGTGCATTTTTTTGTTCTAGCTCTGTGAAAAAGCTCTTGGTAGTTTGATAGGGATTGCATTGAATCTGCAGATTGCTTTGGGTAGTATAGTCATTTTCACAATGTTGATTCTTCCAATCCAAGAACATAGTATATCTCTCCATCTGTCTGTATCATCTTTAATTTCTTTCATCAGTGTTTTACAGTTTTCTGCATACAATCTTTTGTCTCCTTAGATAGGTTTATTCCTAGGTATTTTATTCTTTTTGTTGCAATGGTAAATGGGAGTGTTTCCTTAATTTCTCTTTCAGATTTTTCATCATTAGTATATAGGAATGCAAGAGATTTCTGTGCATTAATTTTGTATCCTGCTACTCTACCAAATTTATTGATTAGCTCTAGTAGGTTTCTGGTAGCATGTTTAGGATTCTCTATGTATAGTATCATGTCATCTGC